GGCAAGACAACTATCGCGGGAGCTTTCTACGATAGCTTCTCCAGTCAATATGAAGGCCACCACTTTCTTCCCAGCATAAGGCAGGAATCAGAAAAGGGTCGATTAAATGATCTACGAGATGAACTTCTTTCAAAATTACTGGAGGAAGAAAATCTTCGCGTTGGCACACCACATATACCATCTTTCATCAGGGATAGACTCTGCCAAAAGAAAGTTCTCCTTGTTTTGGATGATGTGAATGATGTACGACAATTCCAGCATTTAATTGAAGTACCTTTTATTGGTGCAGGGAGGGTTGTTGTTGTAACATCAAGAGACGGGCAAGTACTTACGAATGTAGTTGATGAAATCTCCACACCTTCTAATCACTAAACCTTTTTTACTTTTTAATTTCCAGGGCAATGTCTACATAAATCATCACTCTAAAGGTAAGTTATTTTAGGGCAATAATGGAGTTAAGACAATCATCACTCTAAAGGTAATTTATTTTAGGGTAAAGGAGAATGGGAGAACTTCATCAAATTTCATTTTTCTCCCTCGCAAAACCATAAGTCTGTTGCTTCTAGCTTACTGGGTTTTGTTTATCACAAGGATTTTTTTTCCTGTTTAGTCCAAAAGACAATGCAAGTTCAAATGGGTTGTAGGCTTTTGTTTTCTCATAAAACAAAATAGCATTTGCATTTCAGTTTTTAATTTGATTTCAAATAATTCCCATCCAACTTACTCCTGTAATTTACTTACAGAACTCCATTGGATCAACCTAAAAAGCAGCTTTGTTTTGGACCTTTATATCAAACTACAAAGCATTATTGCGTTATATGCAAGAAAGCCAACAATAGTTTTCAATAAGATAGTACAAGAAAGTCAATTATAATTTTCTCCCTTTCTTTTTAATTATATTAAATAGAACAACAAACCTTGATTAAATTTGTTCCAATTTCGAAATAGTCCTCGAGATTTAATTAAAAAAACAAAGAAAGGGAGAGTTATTTAACGCGTAGGTTTTTACGATTACAATTTAAAGAATAAATAAATTTAAAAAAAAATACTTTTAGATGCAGTTTTAAAAATATAGATTTAAAAAATATATATTTGATTAAAACTAATATAAAATAGATTTTTACATATAAAATAAATGACAAACAAGTATCTCTGAATAAAAAATAAATTATTTTAGAAAATCAATATTTGAAATATAATTATATTTAGGAACAATTTTTATTAACTAAACAAGTTTTTCTTTATAATTGGATAAAAAACAGCCTATCACAATGGCAGATTAATAAGACATAGTTATTTAGTAATCAAGATTAACAAAGCCCTCAAAGAATCTTCTCTTCACATCCAGCCAAACTTCTTTTTTTTTTTTATTTAACCCCTTTTAACGTGTTCACTTTTAGCCGATGCAAAGCAGAGTTGACTTTGCTAATTTGGCCTCACCAAGAAAATTAACATGGATATAATCAGATTCTGCAAATCTGTTTACATAAAGGGTTCCATCCCACAAGTAGACAGCGGAAGCCAAAAAAGAAGATAAAAATCTTCGCCTTTCATTGCTTTCATACTGTGTAATTATAGATGTTTGGTTAATTTATGTATATTTCAATTAATTTTTTAAGATCTTAAAATTAATGATCCTATAATATTTTAGTAATTTTAAAGTTTATATAATTCAAATTATTAATTTTTAAAAAATAAATTCAGGATGTGAGTGGTTGAACTACACCCCCTTAGAATTTACGTACTAGCGTACTTAATCTTGTATAACGTGGCAATACTGAAAATCATGAAATCCAGAAGGTTGTGAATAGGACTATACTGGCGATGCAATATCCTCAATTCTGGTGATGCAATATCCTCAATTCAGAGTAGTGTGAGATTATTCTTAATAGAAGGCCGTAATATATCATGCAGTGCAACCTATACGGGAAGATATTACAATAACAAATCAGTGAACACGAGTGATATAGCACATAGCTATTAGAGAAACTTCTCCTATAAACATTCCTTATAGTATTATTGCATGCCCGCTATGTTCATAAGTTCATGGACACGAGAGCATTACAGAACTATACCATTTTGAGAAAATGTTTTTTTTTAGGAAAACACTATCCTTATAGCACTCCATTACATTATCTATACGAAAAAAATTAATAGATTAGGAAAATTGAGTTTGAACTAGGTTAAAAATTTAAGAGAACTCGGATAATATTTTGTAAGATGTATAATATGAGTATCATCATACAAATAATAAAACTCTTTAGATCCTCTGTTGTGGAAATTGGAGAAGGTTACAAAATTTCATAGTAAATTAAAATAAATGGTAGTGGTAATACTATAAATATATATAGGCCCCCCAATTGGGTTACGTCTTTGCCCAATCGAGCTCTCCTTCCTTTCTCTCTATTCCCTTAGCCAGGTTCGGTTAAACTCTACGAAGCTCGGTTAGGCTAAGATCCCTTGGGTTAGGTAATGACTGGGATTGAACATTCGAATGTGACAATTATTAAATTTGTAAAAGACAAAGTCATTGCCTATGGGTTGAATCAAAAGGCAAAAAAATACAGTGATGGTTTTCTTGTGGTGCAAGTCAAAGAGTGTGCATATCACAACCCCAGATTAATGAGAGCTAGTTATTTATTAATCAAGATTAACAAAGCCCCCGAAGAAACTTTCCTTGCCTAGCCAGACAAACTTCTTTTTTTTCTTAAAAAAAAGTATTATATTAAACCCCTTTTAACGTGTTGACTTTTAGCTGATGCAAGGCAGAGTTGACTTTGCAAATTTTAAAAAAAGATAGGGTCCTTCCAATTATATCAAGGCTGAAGAAATTGGAGTTCTCAACCAACCTCCATTGATTTTAAAAAAATATATATAAAATACATACGCATCCAAGTATTTAAGAGAGGTTAATCGCTGTCCATTAACTCAAGAAAGGCAATATTGTAATTATTGCTTATTTAAATTTAACAGATTCAGACCGTTGCCATTGACAAGTCCATTGGCCAATGTATTTGGTATTGATCCCAAAGTCTTTTCACATTCACCTGTTTCTTGATTAATATATGATATTACATTTAGATTATAACGATGAGATCAGATTTTCTGTAAGTATTTACTTGAAGGAGAAGGAGAAGGCAATAGACAAGAAAAATCGTCTCTTATCATCAACACTCTGCAGCTTCTTCTTCGTCTTGCTGATGCAAAACACAAGTCAACTGTTCTTATGATCTGTTGGTAAGTCTTTCTGGTTCATGCTGTCTTCTATATTTAAGATTATATATAGGATACGCGCAATAATTTTACCAGCCATCTCTATGATGCTTTGTGTCGTAAGAAAATCAAGACCTTCATTGATGATGGGCTTGAAAGAGGAGAAGAAATTACCCCTGCCCTTCTGAAAACGATTGAAGAATCAAGAATTTCTGTGGTAATTTTCTCCAAGAACTATGCATCTTCTCCGTGGTGTGTGGATGAACTGGTGAAAATACTTGAATGCAAAGAGACTTATGGGCAGATTGTTTTACCGGTCTTCTATCATGTGGACCCATCTGAAGTTGATGAACAGACTGGGAGTTTTGAAAATGCATTTGCCGAGCTTGAAAAAAATTTCAAGGGGAAGATGGACAGGGTGCCACGGTGGAGGGCTGGCTTGACATATGCAGCCAGTATATCTGGATGGGATTCACAGGTTACTAGGGAACTATAGATTCTCATCTTCAACTTTTTTTTTCCTGAAATTATAGAAATTAAAATTTCTTGTGCATATTATAGTTTTTTTTTTCTCCGGTAAATCATTTGTGCTTCTTAGTTCATAGTACTTGTTGCTTGAAAAGGCACAAGTCTGTTCTGTTTTTTTGTGGAAAACTAACTTCCATCAACAGCCAATGGACTTCCACCTTAATGGAAACCTCACCTTTGACAACATTTTCTTATAATAAAAAAAAAAATCACTCCCTTACATTACTTACATTCACCTTAATGGAAACCTCACCTTCGACACAATTTGAGCTAAAGATGCTGTGTAAGATACATTACTTACATTCACCCATTTCATTTTTTGCAGTCCGGAGTCCAAATTAGTGAGAGAAGTTGTGCAAACTATCTGGAAAAGGTTAAATGATGCATCCCCAAGCAAATTAAGAGGTCTGGTTGGAGTAGATTCACGTATTGAGCAAATCAACAAATTACTATCTATTGTGCCATCTGATGTCCGCTCAATAGGAATTTGGGGCATGGGTGGTATTGGCAAGACAACTATCGCGGGAGCTTTCTACGATAACTTCTCAAGTCAATATGAAGGCCACCACTTTCTTCCGAACATAAGGCAGGAATCAGAGAAGGGTCGATTAAATGATCTACGAGATGAACTTCTTTCTAAACTACTGGAGGAAGAAAATCTTCGCGTTGGCACACCACATATACCTACTTTCACCTGGGATAGACTCTGCCACAAGAAAGTTCTCCTTGTTTTGGATGATGTGAATGATGTACGACAATTCCAGCATTTAATTGAAGAGCGCTCGTTTGGTGAAGGAAGCGTTGTTGTTATCACATCAAGAGACAAGCAAGTACTTAAGAATGTAGTTGATGAAATATACGAGGTTGAGGAATTAAACGCCCACGAAGCTCTTCAACTCTTTAGCTTGAATGCTTTTAAGGGAAACCACCCCCCAAAAGCTTATATGGAGTTGTCAATCAAGGCAATAAATTATGCCAAAGGGAACCCGTTAGCTCTTCAAGTTTTGGGTTCCTTCTTATTTGGCAGAGAAAGATATTTCTGGGAATCTCAATTAAATGAGATTGAAAGCTTTCCTGAGCTGAATATTTATGACTTGCTGAGAATAGGCTTTGATGCACTACGTGATCATAACACGAAGAGTATATTTCTCGACATTGCATGTTTTTTTAAAGGGCATCGAGTTGATTTCGTAAGGCGGATTTTAGATGGCTGCGGTTTCAAAACAGATATTGGATTCAGTCTTCTCATTGACAGGTGTCTCATTAAAATTTCAGATGACAAGGTTGAAATGCATGATCTTTTGCAAGAAATGGCCCATGAAGTTGTTCGTAAAGAATCTCTTGACGAGCTGGGAAGACAGAGCAGATTGTGGAATCCAAAAGATGCATATCAAGTGTTGACCAATAATCTGGTGAGATTCATATACCCCAAAGTTTTCTCTTTCCTATGCAATGCAATATGGTTGTACTAGTAAGTTTAAAATCTTACTTAAAACTTTGTTTCTCCTTCACTGGTTTTCAGGGAACTGGAAAAGTTGAAGGGATATTCTTGGATGTTTCAAAAATAAGAGAAATTGAGTTGAGTTCTACAGCCTTGGAAAGGATGTATAAACTTAGACTGCTAAAAATTTATAATTCTGAAGCTGGAGTTAAATGCAGAGTGCACCTTCCTCATGGCCTCGAGTATCTTTCTGAAGAGTTGAGGTATCTCCATTGGGATGGATACCCTTTGACATCTTTGCCTAGCATGTTTTGTCCACAGAACCTTGTTGAACTTAGCCTGTCATCTAGCAAGGTTAAGCAACTGTGGAGAGGACAACAGGTATTCTAAAATAACTCTGCATGCATAGTTCTTTCTTTGAAATTTAGAGTGGTATGCACATGCAATTTCTTTTTGTTGATTCCATTTGGCTTCAGGATCTCGTCAATTTAAAAGATGTCAACCTCAGCAATTGTGAACACATAACTTCCCTGCCAGACCTTTCAACGGCCAGAAACCTTGAGAGATTGAATCTTCAATTCTGTAAAAGTTTGGTTGAGTTTCCTTCATCTGTTCAGCATCTGGACAAGCTTGTTGATTTAGATTTGAGAGGCTGCAAAAGACTAATCAATCTTCCCAGTAGA